TGTTAAATAATATTACTTCTTAAAATATATTTTATTGATTTTTCACAGAGAGGAAGGGAGAGGGATAGAGATTTAGAAACATCGATGAGAGAGAAACACCGATCAGCTGCCTCCTGCACATCTCCCCACTGGGGATGTGCCCGCAACTAAGGTACATGCCCTTGTCCGGAATCAAACCCAGGACCTTTCAGTCCGCAGGGTGACGCTCTATCCGCTGAGCCAAACTGGTCAGGGCAATACTATTTTTGTTTTTTTAGAATTTATATTCAGCCTCCTCCTAGAAATACTTTGAAGCCCCAGCTTAGATTATACTATACTAGAGGCCCGGTGCACAAAAACTATTGTAAATAATGCTATGAACATAGGGGGTGCATATATTCCTTCTGATTGGTATTTCTGGCTTCTTAGGGTATATTCCTAGAATCGAGATTACTGGGTTAAATGGCAGTTCCATTTTTAATTTTTGGAGGAAACTCTACACTGTTTTTCATAGTGATTGTACCAGCTTGCATTTTCTCCACATCCTCGCCAGCACTTGTTTGTTGATTTATTAATGGTAGCCATTCTGGCAGGTGTGAGGTGGTACCATATTGTCATTTTAATTTGCATTTCTCTGAAAATTAGCGACTTTAAACATTTTTTCATATGTCTCTTGGCCATTTGCATGTCCTCTTTGGAGAAGTGTCTATTTAGGTCCTCTGCCCATCTTGTAATTGGGTTCTTTATCTTCCTTTTGTTTATTTCCTGGGAGTTTTTTAAAATTACTGCTTTAACTTCATCTGTTGTTATTGGACTATTCGGGTTTTCTGATTCCTCCTGATTCAGTTTTAGAAGATTGTATTTTTCTAGGATTTTATCCATTTTGTCCAGGTTGTCCTGCTTGTTGGCATATAGTTGTTCATAGTATTTTCTTAAAAACCTTTGCATTTCTGTGGTGTTAGTTGTTACTTCACAACTTTTGTTTCTGGTTTTATTTATTTGGGTCCTTTCTCTTTGTTTCTTTTTCTTTTCTCTTTTTTAAAGGTTTCTTTCTTTCTTTCTTTCTTTCTTTAATTAAATCCTTATTGTTCAGATTATTACAGTTGTTCCTCTTTTTTCCCCCCATAGCGCCCCTCCCCCTGGTTCCCATCCCACCCTCTGG